CGAGCGAGCGAGTGAGCGAGTGAGTGAGCGGGTGAGCGCGTGATTGGGTGAACGAGCGAGCGAGCGGGCGAGCAGGCGAGCAGGTGAGCGAGCGCGGGGGCGAGGGAATGAGCGAGTGAGCGAGCGGGCGAGCAAGCGAGTGAGCGAGCGAGCGAGTGAGCGAGCGAGCGAGCGAGCGGGTGAATGAGCGAGCGAGTGAGTGAGCGAGTGAGTGAGCGAGCGAGCGAGCGGGTGAATGAGCGAGCGAGTGAGTGAGCGAGTGAGTGAGCGAGTGAGTGAGTGAACGAGCGGGTGAGCGAGTGAGTGAACGAGCGGGCGAGCGAATGAGCGATTGAGTGAGCGAGTGAGTGAGCGAGTGAGCAGGTGAATGAGCGAGCGAGTGAGTGAGCGAGTGAGCGAGCAGGTGAACGAGCGAGCGAGTGAGTGAGCGAGTGAGTGAGCGAGTGAGCGAGCAGGTGAACGAGCGAGCGAGTGAGTGAGCGAGTGAGCGAGCAGGTGAACGAGCGAGCGAGTGAGTGAGCGAACGAGCGAGCGAGTGAGCGAGTGAGCGAGCGAGTGAGCGAGCGAGTGATTGGGTGAATGAGTGTGTAGGTGAGTGAGTGAGTGAACGAGTGGTGAGTGAGCGAGTGAGTGAGCGAGTGAGTGAGTGAACGAGTGAGCGAGCGAGTGATTGGATGAATGAGTGGGTGGGTGAGTGGGTGGGTGAGTGAACGAGCGAGTGAACGAGTGGTGAGTGAGCGAGCGAGTGGGCGGGCGAGTGAGTGGGTGGGTGAGTGAGTGACCGAGCGAGTGAGTGACTGAGTGAGTGACTGAGTGAGTGAGTGAGTGGGTGAGTGAGTGACTGAGTGAGTGAGTGACTGAGTGAGTGAGTGAGTGACTGAGTGAGTGAGCGAGTGAGCGAGTGAGTGAGTGACTGAGTGAGTGGGTGAGTGACTGAGTGACTGAGTGTGTGAGTGAGTGTGTGAGTGATTGGGTGACTGAGTGACTGACTGAGTGACTGACTGACTGACTGATTGAGTGACTGACTGACTGACTGAGTGACTGACTGAGTGAGTGAGTGAGTGACTGACTGACTGAGTGACTGAGTGAGTGAGTGGGTGGGTGATTGGGTGAGTGAGTGGGTGGGTGGGTGGGTGATTGGGTGGGTGAGTGGGTGGGTGATTGGGTGGGTGAGTGACTGACTGAGTGACTGACTGAGTGACTGACTGAGTGACTGAGTGACTGACTGAGTGACTGAGTGACTGAGTGAGTGAGTGATTGGGTGAGTGGGTGAGTGGGTGGGTGAGTGACTGACCTGTGTGCACTCGGCCCCCTGGAAGTAGACGTAGGCGTCGCACTCGCGGCATCGCGACGGCGCCCGCAGGCGGCGCAGCGCGTGGGTGGCGGCCGCCGTGGAGAGGCTCACACCGCAAAATCGCGGCGCCTCCACCGCCTCCACCGCCTCGACCGCCTCCACCGCCTCCACCGCCTCCACCGCCTCCACCGCCTCCACCGCCTCCACCGCCGCCACCGCCGCCACCGCCTCCACCGCCTCATCACCACCTGCATCACCACCGCCTGGCTGGGCACCTGTAGGGGTGGAGGGTCGGGTGAGTGAGTGGGTGGGTGAGTGGGTGAGTGGGTGGGTGAGTAGGTGAGTGAGTGGGTGGGTGGGTGAGTGAGTGGGTGAGTGGGTAAGTGGGTAGGTGAGTGAGTGGGTGGGTGAGTGGGTGAGTGGGTGGGTGAGTGAGTGAGTGGGTGAGTGAGTGGGTGAGTGGGTGAGTGAGTGGGTGGGTGGGTGGGTGAGTGGGTGAGTGGTTGAGTGGGTGAGTGAGTGAGTGGGTGAGTGGGTGAGTGAGTGGGTGGGTGGGTGGGTGAGTGGGTGGGTGAGTGGGTGGGTGAGTGGGTGAGTGGGTGGGTGAGTTGGTGGGTGAGTTGGTGGGTGAGTGGGTGAGTGGGTGAGTGGGTGGGTGAGTGAGTGGGTGAGTGAGTGAGTGGGTGAGTGGGTGGGTGAGTGGGTGAGTGGGTGAGTGGGTGAGTGAGTGGGTGGGTGAGTGAGTGGGTGAGTGGGTGAGTGAGTGGGTGGGTGAGTGGGTGGGTGAGTGAGTGGGTGGTTGGGTGGGTGAGTGGGTGAGTGGGTGGTTGGGTGGGTGGGTGAGTGAGTGAGTGAGTGGGTGAGTGGGTGAGTGGGTGGGTGAGTGGGTGGGTGGGTGGGTGAGTGGGTGAGTGAGTGGGTGGGTGAGTGAGTGAGTGGGTGAGTGAGTGGGTGAGTGGGTGAGTGAGTGAGTGAGTGGGTGGGTGAGTGGGTGGGTGAGTGGGTGGGTGAGTGGGTGGGTGAGTAGGTGAGTGAGTGGGTGGGTGAGTGAGTGGGTGGGTGGGTGGGTGGGTGAGTGAGTGAGTGGGTGGGTGGGTGGGTGAGTGAGTGGGTGAGTGGGTGGGTGAGTGGGTGGGTGGGTGAGTGAGTGGGTGAGTGAGTGGGTGGGTGAGTGAGTGGGTGGGTGAGTGAGTGGGTGAGTGGGTGAGTGAGTGGGTGGGTGAGTGGGTGGGTGAGTGAGTGAGTGGGTGGGTGGGTGGGTGAGTGGGTGAGTGGGTGGGTGGGTGGGTGAGTGGGTGAGTGGGTGGTTGGGTGGGTGGGTGAGTGAGTGAGTGGGTGAGTGGGTGAGTGGGTGGGTGAGTGGGTGGGTGGGTGGGTGAGTGGGTGAGTGAGTGGGTGGGTGAGTGAGTGAGTGGGTGAGTGGGTGAGTGGGTGAGTGAGTGAGTGGGTGAGTGAGTGGGTGGGTGAGTGGGTGGGTGAGTGGGTGAGTGGGTGGGTGAGTGGGTGGGTGAGTAGGTGAGTGAGTGGGTGGGTGAGTGAGTGGGTGGGTGGGTGAGTGGGTGGGTGGGTGAGTGAGTGGGTGAGTGGGTGGGTGAGTGAGTGAGTGAGTGGGTGAGTGAGTGGGTGGGTGAGTGGGTGGGTGAGTGGGTGAGTGGGTGGGTGAGTAGGTGAGTGAGTGGGTGGGTGAGTGAGTGGGTGGGTGAGTGGGTGAGTGGGTGGGTGGGTGGGTGAGTGGGTGAGTGAGTGGGTGGGTGGGTGAGTGGGTGAGTGAGTGGGTGGGTGGGTGAGTGAGTGAGTGGGTGAGTGAGTGGGTGAGTGGGTGAGTGGGTGAGTGGGTGGGTGAGTGAGTGGGTGAGTGGGTGGGTGAGTGAGTGAGTGGGTGGGTGGGTGAGTGGGTGAGTGAGTGAGTGGGTGAGTGAGTGAATGAGGCGTGAAGTGAGTGGGTAGGTGAGTGGGTGAGTGAGTGGGTGGGTGGGTGAGTTAGTGGGTGAGTGAGTGGGTGGGTGAGTGGGTGGGTGAGTGGGTGGGTGAGTGGGTGAGTGAGTGAATGAGGCGTGAAGGGAGGTGCGTGTCTGTGTGTGCGTCTGTTATTATTTGGGAGACCACCAACAACACCACCACCACCAACATCACCAACAACACCACCACCACCAACATCACCTGGTGCCTGTGTGTGTCTGTGTGTGTCTGTGTGTGTGTGTATCTGTGTGTGTCTGTGTGTGTGTCCATGATTGTGTGTGTATGTGTACCTGTGTGTCTGTGTGTGTGTCCGTGATTGTGTGTCTATGTGTGTGTATCTGTGTGTGTCTGTGTGTGTGTCCGTGATTGTGTGTGTCTACGTGTGTGTATCTGTGTATGTCTGTGTGTGTCCGTGATTGTGTGTGTCTACGTGTGTGTATCTGTGTATGTCTGTGTGTGTGTCTGTGTGTGTCCGTGATTGTGTGTGCCTATGTGTGTGTATCTGTGTGTGTCTGTGTGTGTGTCTGTGTGTGTGTCCGTGATTGTGTGTGTCTATGTGTGTGTATCTGTGTGTGTCTGTGTGTGTGTCTGTGATTGTGTGTGCCTATGTGTGTGTTTGTGATTGTGTGTGTCTATGTGTGTGTCTATGTGTGTGTCTGAGTGTGTAGTGGTTAGCTCTACCGCTGCGCTACAAACCCGGCGACCCGGGTTCGATTCCCTGTTCATGGCCAACACCGCCAGTGATGGTTATCTGAACCGGTCCTGGGCCTCCCCACGCAAGTTTCAGATCTTCCCCGTGAGCCTACAAACGCGACTTTAGACCCCCAAACAAGATGAACCCCTTACAGGTAACGAAAAGCTTCGGGTCGAGATTTCACCGCCTCTACGGGGGAGGGTTTCCCACGCGACTTTTAGATGTTTCCCTGTGAACCTATCAACGCGACTTTAGACCCCCCAGACAAGATGAACCCCTTACAGGTCACGACAAAGCTTCAGGTCGAGATTTCACCGCCTCTACGGGGGAGGGTTTCCCACGAAACTTTCAGATCTTTCCCGTGAACCTATCAACGCGACTTTAGACCCCCCCTAACAAGATGAACCCCTTACAGGTAACGAGAAGCTTCAGGTCGAGATTTCACCGCCTCTACGGGGGGAGGGTTTCCCACGCGACTTTTAGATCTTTCCCGTGAACCTATCAACGCGACTTTAGACCCCCCAGACAAGATGAACCTCTTACAGGTCACAAGCTTCAGGTCGAGATTTCACCGCCTCTACGGGGGAGGGTTTACCACGCGACTTTCAGATCTTTCCCGTGAACCTATCAACGCGACTTTAGACCCCCCCAGACAAGATGAACCCCATTACAGGTCACGACAAACTTCGAGTCAGGACGAAACATTGGCAGTCGTAACAACGCACCAAGCCTGTGCCGGAGGCCCCGGGCGAGGATATTTGTCCATGAGGTCTCCCCTGGCCAGGAAAATACTGAATCTGACGTCACCCTCAGGAATTCTCCGTTAACGGCAAAAAAAATATATAAGCAGCCAAGAGCGGCCACGTGGAACGTTCGAACGATCAAGCTGCGGGAGGAGAGGCTGCCGCTCCTCTGTCGGGAGCTGGACCGGTACCGCATGGATCTCTGCGGCATTCAGGAGGTCCGGTGGAATGGTTCTAGTATGAGTGTGTGTGGAGGAGAGGCTGCCACTCGTCTGTCGGGAGCTGGACCGGTACCGCCTGGATCTCTGCGCTATTCAGGAGCTCCGGTGAACCGGTTCTGGCTCCTGCCACCATGAGGGGTGGACAGTCCTCTACTCGGGGCAGACTGCCAAACACCACCACCACCACCATCACCACCACCACCACCATCACCACCACCACCCCCACCACCACTACCACCACCACCATCACCATCACCACCCCCACCATCACCACCACCTCCACCACCACCATCACACCACCTCCACCAGCACCACCATCAACCACCGTCACCACCACCACCACCATCACCACCATCACCACCCCCACCACCACCATCACCACCACCACCACCATCACCACCATCACCCCCACCACCACCACCACCATCACCACCACCACCACCACCCCACTCACCACCACCACCACCACCCCCACCATCACCACCACCCCCACCATCACCACCACCCCCACCCACCACCACCATCACCACCATCACCACCCCCACCATCACCATCACCACCACCACCACCACCATCACCACCACCACCACCACCCCACTCACCACCACCACCACCACCACCCCCACCATCACCACCACCCCCACCATCACCACCACCCCCACCCACCACCACCATCACCACCACCACCACCACCACCATCACCATCACCACCACCACCATCACCACCCCCACCATCACCACCACCATCACCACCACCACCACCATCACCACCATCACCACCATCACCACCCCCACCACCACCATCACCACCACCACCACCCCCACCACCACCATCACCACCACCACCACCACCATCACCACCACCACCATCACCACCACCACCCCCACCATCACCACCACCACCACCACCACCCCCACCATCACCACCATCACCATCACCACCATCACCACCATCACCACCACCACCACCACCATCACCACCCCCAACACCACCACCATCACCACCATCACCACCACCACCACCATCACCGCCACCACCACCATCACCACCACCACCCACCACCACCACCATCACCACCACCACCCACCACCACCACCACCACCATCACCACCATCACCACCACCACCACCATCACCACCCCCAACACCACCACCACCACCATCACCACCACCACCACCACCATCACCACCATCACCACCACCACCACCATCAGCACCATCACCACCACCACCACCATCACCACCACCATCACCACCACCACCCCCACCACCACCATCACCACCACCATCACCATCACCACCCCCATCACCACCACCACCACCATCACCACCCCCAACACCACCACCATCACCACCACCACCACCACCATCACCACCCCCAACACCACCACCATCACCACCATCACCACCACCACCACCATCACCGCCACCACCACCATCACCACCACCACCCACCACCACCACCATCACCACCACCACCCACCACCACCACCACCACCATCACCACCATCACCACCACCACCACCATCACCACCCCCAACACCACCACCACCACCATCACCACCACCACCACCACCACCACCACCACCACCACCATCACCACCACCATCACCACCACCACCCCCACCACCACCACCACCATCACCACCATCACCACCACCACCACCATCACCACCCCCAACACCACCACCACCACCATCACCACCACCACCACCACCACCACCACCACCATCACCACCATCACCACCATCACCACCACCACCCCCACCACCACCATCACCACCATCACCACCATCACCACCCCCATCACCACCACCACCACCATCACCACCCCCAACACCACCACCATCACCACCATCACCACCCCCACCACCCACCACCATCACCCCCACCACCCACCACCACCACCCACCACCACCACCATCACCACCACCATCACCCACCACCACCACCCACCACCATCACCTGGGCTCTCCTCCCCCGCCACTTCGCGGCGATCACCGCCAAGCCGGCGGCCGCCGCCCCCTCCCCGCGTCTCCCCCAGGGGCAGCCCCCCCCCAAGGGGGTGGGGGGCCCCCCCCAGGGGCAGCCCCCCAAGGGGGGGGCCCCCCAGGGGCAGCCTGTCGACCCGCACGGGGCCCTGCAGCGAGTGCAGGAAGATGGCGTAGGGCCGAGCCGCCTCGTGCAGACGGGCGCTGTCGCCCAGTGTGGCGCAGCTCGAAGCCGCAGCACACCACTGGGACAGCAGATGCTGCTGGTGGCGCACAGTCACCTGTGGTGGTGGGTGGTGGGGGGGTGGTGGGGGGAGTGGTGGTGGGGGGAGTGGTGGTGGGGGGGAGTTGGGGTGGGGGGGGGGTGAGGGGTCACGCACGGGGGATGGATTGGATCGGCTCGGATCGGGTCGGGGCAGTCAGGCAGTCAGTCAGGCAGGCAGTCAGGCAGTCAGGCAGTCAGTCAGGCAGTCAGGCAGTCAGTCAGGCAGTCAGTCAGTCAGGCAGTCAGGCAGTCAGTCAGGCAGTCATTCAGGCAGTCAGTCAGGCAGTCAGGCAGTCATTCAGGCAGTCAGTCAGGCAGTCATTCAGTCATTCAGGCAGTCAGTCAGGCAGTCAGGCAGTCAGGCAGTCAGTCAGTCAGGCAGTCAGGCATGCAGTCAGTAAGTCAGTGAGGCAGTCAGTCATGCATGCAGTCAGTCAGGAAGTCAGTCAGGCAGTCAGTCATTCAGTCAGGCAGTCAGGCAGTCAGTCAGGCATGCAGTCAGGCAGTCAGTCATTCAGTCAGGCAGTCAGGCAGTCAGGCAGTCAGTCAGGCAGTCAGGCAGTCATTCAGTCAGGCAGTCATTCAGTCATTCAGTCAGTCAGTCATTCAGTCATTCATTCAGTCAGGCAGTCAGGCAGTCAGTCAGGCAGTCAGTCAGGCAGGCAGGCAGGCAGTCAGTCAGTCAGTCACTCACTCAGTCAGTCAGTCAGTTAGTCATTCAGTCATTCATTCAGTCACTCAGTCATTCAAGCAGTCAGGCAGTCAGTCAGTCAGTCATTCAGTCAGTCAGGCATGCAGTCAGTCAGTCAGGCAGTCATTCAGTCAGGCAGTCAGTCAGGCAGTCAGGCAGTCAGTCAGGCAGTTAGGCAGTCAGTCAGTCATTCAGTCAAGCAGTCAGTTATTCAGTCATTCATTCAGTCAGTCAGTCATTAAGTCATTCAGGCAGTCAGTCAGGCAGTCATTCAGGCAGTCAGTCAGGCAGTCAGGCAGTCATTCAGGCAGTCAGTCAGGCAGTCAGTCAGTCAGGCAGTCAGTCAGTCAGGCATGCAGTCAGTCAGGCAGTCAGGCAGTCAGTCATTCAGTCATTCATTCAGTCAGTCAGTCAGTCAGTCATTCATTCAGTCATTCAGTCATTCAGTCATTCAGGCAGTCAGTCAGGCAGTCATTCAGTCATTCAGGCAGTCAGGCATGCAGTCAGTCATTCAGTCAGTCAGGCAGTCAGGCAGTCAGTCAGGCAGTCAGTCATTCAGTCATTCAGTCAGGCAGTCAGTCAGGCAGTCAGTCATTCAGTCATTCAGTCAGTAATTCAGTCGGTCAGGCAGTCAGTCAGGCAGTCAGTCATTCAGTCAGTCAGGCAGTCATTCAGTCAGGCAGTCAGTCAGGCGGTCAGGCAGTCAGTCATTCAGTCAGTCATTCAGTCAGGCAGTCAGTCAGTCAGTCAGTCAGTCAGGCAGTCATTCAGTCAGTCAGTCAGGCATGCAGTCAGTCAGTCAGGCATGCAGTCAGTCAGTCAGGCAGTCAGTCATTCAGTCAGGCAGTCAGTAAGGCAGTCAGTCAGTCAGGCATGCAGTCAGTCAGGCAGTCAGTCAGTCAGGCAGTCAGGCAATCATTCAGTCAGTCAGTCATTCAGTCAGTCAGTCAGTCATTCAGTCAGGCAGTCAGTCAGTCAGGCAGTCAGGCAGTCAGTCAGTCAGTCAGTCAGTCATTCAGTTAGTCAGTCATTCAGTCAGTCAGGCAGTCAGTCAGGCATGTAGTCAGTTAGGCAGTCAGTCAGTCACTCAGTCAGTCAGTCAGGCAGTCAGTTAGTCACTCAGTCAGTCAGGCAGTCAGTCAGTCAGTCAGTCACTCAGTCAGTCAGTCACTTAGTCAGTCAGTCAGGCATGCAGTCACTCAGTCAGTCAGTCAGGCATGCAGTCAGTCAGTCAGGCAGTCAGTCAGTCAGTCAGGCAGTCAGTCAGCAGTCAGGCAGGCAGTCAGTCAGGCAGCCAGTCAGTCATTCAGTCAGTCAGTCAGTCCGTCAGGCAGTCACTCAGGCAGTCATTCAGTCACTCATTCACTCAGCCACTCACTTAGTCAGTCACTCATTCACTCAGTCAGTCACTCATTCACTCAGTCACTCAGTCACTCAGTCACACAGTCACTCAGTCATTCACTCACTCAGTCACTCAGTCAGTCAGTCACTCATACAGTCAGTCAGTCAGTTACTCAGTCACTCAGTCAGTCACTCAGTCAGCCACTCACTCACCCACGCACCCACCCACCCACTCACCCACCCACCCACCCACTCACCCACCAACACACCCACCCACCCACTCACCCACCCACCCACGCACCCACCTACTCACCCACCCACTCACCCACCGACTCACCCACCCACCGACTCATCCACCCACTAATTGACCCACCCACCCACTAATTGCCCCACCCACCCACTAATTGACCCGTCCACCCACTAATTGACCCACCCACCGACGCACCCACTAATTGACCCACCCACCCACTAATTGACCAACCCAGTAATTGACCCACCCACCCACTAACTGCCCCATCCACCCACTAATTGACCCACCCACCCACTAATTGCCCCACCCACCCACTAATTGCCCCACCCACCCACTAATTGACGCACCCACCCACGGACGCACCCACCCACTAATTGACCCACCCACTCACTCAATGACCCACCCACCGACTCACCCACCCATCCACTAATTGACCCACCCACCCACTAATTGCCCCACCCACTAACTGACCCACCCACTAATTGACCCACCCACCCACCGACCCACCCACCCACTAATTGACCCACCCACTAATTGACCTACCCACCGACCCACCCACCCACTAATTGACCCACCCACTAATTGACCCACCCACCCACTAATTGCCACACCCACCCACTAATTGCCCCACCCACCCACTAATTGACCTACCCACCGACCGACCCAGTCACCCACTAATTGACCCACCCACCCACTAATTGACCCACCCACTAATTGACCCACCCATCCACTAACTGCCCCACCCACCCACTAATTGACCCACCCACTAATTGCCCCACCCACCCACTAATTGACCCAGCCACCCACCGACCCACGCACCCACGAATTGACCTACCCACCCACTAATTGACCCACCAACCCATGCGCCCACCCACTAATTGCCCCACCCACCCACTAACTGCCCCACCCACCCACTAATTGCCCCACCCACCCACTAATTGACCCACCCACTGACCCACGCACCCACTAATTGCCCCACCCACCCACTAACTGCCCCACCAACCCACGCGCCCACCCACTAATTGCCCCACCCACCCACTAACTGCCCCACCCACCCACTAATTGCCACACCCACCCACCCACTAACTGCCCCACCCACCCACTAATTGCCCCACCCACCCACTAATTGCCCCACCAACCCACGCGCCCACCCACTAACTGCCCCACCCACCCACTAATTGCCACACCCACCCACCCACTAACTGCCCCACCCACCCACTAACTGCCCCACCCACCCACTAATTGCCACACCCACCCACCCACTAACTGCCCCACCCACCCACTAATTGCCCCACCCACCTCCTGCAGGGCGAGGTCCCAGCGGGTCACAAGGGACCGCACGGTGCTCACTGCCTCCACTCGCAGCTCGTTCAGCTCGGAGCGACGCTGCCCGCACTCGGAGAGACAAAGGCGGAAAGCGGCCTCAGCCTCCTCCACCTGGCGGGGAGGGAGCAAGGGGCGTGGGGGGAGGGGTGGAGATCATCATCATCAGTAGTAGTATCATCATCATCATTATCAGTAGTATCATCATCAGTAGTAGTATCATCATCAGTAGTAGTATCATCATCATCAGTAGTAGTATCATCATCATCAGTAGTATCATCATCAGTAGTAGTATCATCATCATCATTATCAGTAGTATCATCATCATCAGTAGTAGTATCATCATCAGTAGTAGTATCATCATCATCAGTAGTAGTATCATCATCATCAGTAGTATCATCATCAGTAGTATCATCATCATCATTATCAGTAGTATCATCATCATCAGTAGTAGTACCATCATCATCAGTAGTATCATCATCATTATTATCAGTAGTATCATCATCAGTAGTATCATCATCATCAATAGTATCATCATCAATAGTATCATCATCAGTAGTAGTAATATCATCATCAGTAGTATTATCATCATCATCATCAGTAGTAGTATAATCATCATCAGTAGTATCATCATCATCATCAGTAGTATCATCATCATCAGTAGTAGTATCATCATCATCAGTAGTATCATCATCAGTAGTATCATCATCATCATTATCAGTAGTATCATCATCATCAGTAGTAGTACCATCATCATCAGTAGTATCATCATCATTATTATCAGTAGTATCATCATCATCAATAGTATCATCATCAATAGTATCATCATCAGTAGTAGTAATATCATCATCAGTAGTATTATCATCATCATCAGTAGTAGTATAATCATCATCAGTAGTATCATCATCATCATCAGTAGTATCATCATCATTATCAGTAGTATCATCATCATCATCAGTAGTATCATCATCATCATCAATAGTATCATCATCAATAGTATCATCATCAATAGTATCATCATCAGTAGTAGTAATATCATCATAAGTAGTATCATCATCATCAGTAGTAGTATCATCATCATCAGTAGTAGTATCATCATCATCAGTAGTATCATCATCAGTAGTAGTATCATCATCATCAGTAGTAGTATCATTATCATCAGTAGAAGTATCATCATCATCAGTAGCAGTATCATCATCATTAATAGTATCATCATCAGTAGTATCATCATCATCATCAGTAGTATCATCATCATCAGTAGTAGTATCATCATCATCAGTAGAAGTATCATCATCATCATCAGTAGAAGTATCATCATCATCAGTAGTAGTATCATCATCATCATCAATAGTATCATCATCATCATCAATAGTATCATCATCAGTAGTATCATCATCATCATCAGTAGTATCATCATCATCAGTAGTATCATCATCATCATCAGTAGTATCATCATCATCAGTTGTATCATCATCAGTAGTATCATCATCATCATCATCAGTAGTAGTATCATCATCATCAGTAGTAGTATCATCATCATCAGTAGTAGTATCATCATCATCATCAATAGTATCATAATCAGTAGTATCATCATCATCAGTAGTATCATCATCATCAGTAGTATCATCATCATCAGTAGTATCATCATCATCAGTAGTATCATCATCATCATCATTAGTAGTAGTACCGGCCCTATAGGGGCCAGCTGACAGCGCTGGACCCCTACAGGTGACGTTGTGTGTGTGCAGTGCTGACCCCTACAGGTCACGCTGTGTGTGTGCAGTGCCCACCCCTACAGGTGACGCTGTGTGTGTGCAGTGCCCACCCCTACAGGTGACGCTGTGTGTGTGCAGTGCCCACCCCTACAGGTGACGCTGTGTGAGGTCACATGACGCCTGGGCCCATCTGGTTGACCCGGGAGGACACGTGACCGGCTAAGTGGGGGGGGCTAGGGGGGTGTGGTCACGTGATTGGGATCCAGATCCCTCCCGAGGGATTCTGGGAAGGTGGGCGTGGCCAAGGGGCGTGGCCAAGGGTGGCGGAGGATCTAAGCCGGTGACCCCCATAGTTACCGGCTGTTGTTGTTGTTGTTGTCAGTCCTGAAGAAATCGACGTTCTACGTTTAACTTCCTGCAGGTGGTCACGTGCTCGAGGGCCGAGATCCCTCCCGAGGGATTCTGGGAAGGTGGGCGTGGCCAAGGGGCGTGGCCAAGGGGCGGAGGATCTAAGCCGGTGACCCCCATAGTTACCGGCTGTTGTTGTTGTTGTTGTCTGTCGTGAAGAAATCTAAGTTCTACGTTTAACTTTCTGCAGGTGAGAGACTATGGGTGGTCACGTGATGGAGGGTCGAGATCCCTCCCGAGGGATTCTGGGAAGGTGGGCGTGGCCAAGGGGCGTGGCCAAGGGGCGTGGCCAAGGGGCGGAGGATTTAAGCCGGTGACCCCCATAGTTACCGGCTGTTGTTGTCATCCGTCCTGAAGAAATCTAAGTTCTACGTTCAACTTCCTGCAGGTGAGGGACTATGCGTGGTCACGTGATCGGGGTTCAGATCCTTCCCGAGGGATTCTGGAAAGGTGGGCGTGGCCAAGGAGCAGGGGAGAACCCCTCAGTCTATGTTCTACGTTCTCCGTTCACCGGGTCTCCGACACCTTAAGGCAGCGGCTGGTTACGTAGTTACGTAGTAGTTGGTGTAGCTAGCCTGGTGGTCATCACGGCAAGGTCGTTATTCTGCTAAGTTAGCACGCGTGTTGGAACCGAAATAAAATGTGTTGACTTCAAGTCTACGTCTAAGACTCAGTTGAAGCAATTACAGTGGTCTTAGGAGTTAGTGGTAGTGGTACAGTCATTAGTAGTATTACCAGCATCACCACTATCATCACCATCATCACCATCGCCACCATCATCACCACCATTACCATCATCGCCATCACCACCATCATCACCACCACCATGACCATCATCACCATCATCATCACCACCATCACCATCACCACCATCACCACCACCATCACCATCATCACCATCACCACCACCATCATCATCACCACCATCACCATCATCACCATCACCACATCATCACCACCATCACCACCACCACCATCATCACCTGCATCACCACCATCATCACCACCATTACCATCATCGCCATCACCACCACCATCACCATCATCACCATCACCAACATCACCATCACCACCACCACCACCATCATCACCACCACCATCACCACCACCATCACCACCAACACCACCATCACCACCATCACCATCATCACCACCATCACCACCATCACCACCATCACCACCACCATCACCACCAACACCATCACCACCATCACCACCAACACCACCATCACCACCATCATCACCAACACCACCAACACCATCACCAACATCACCACCATCACCATCACCACCATCACCACCACCACCATCACCACCATCACCACCATCACCACCATCACCATCACCACCATCACCACCATCACCACCACCATCACCATCACCACCATCACCACCATCACCACCACCATCACCATCATCACCACCATCATCACCACCAACACCATCACCACCATCACCACCACCATCACCACCAACACCACCATCACCACCATCACCATCATCACCACCATCACCACCATCACCACCATCACCACCACCAACACCATCACCACCATCACCACCAACACCACCATCACCACCATCATCACCAACACCACCAACACCATCACCAACATCACCACCATCACCATCACCACCATCACCACCACCATCACCACCATCACCACCATCACCATCACCACCATCACCACCACCATCACCACCATCACCATCACCACCATCACCATCACCACCATCACCACCACCATCACCACCATCACCATCACCACCATCACCATCACCACCATCACCACCACCATCACCATCACCACCATCACCACCAACACCACCATCACCACCATCATCACCAACACCACCAACACCATCACCAACATCACCACCATCACCATCACCACCACCATCACCACCATCACCACCATCACCACCACCATCACCACCATCACCATCACCACCATCACCATCACCACCATCACCATCACCACCATCACCACCACCATCACCACCATCACCATCACCACCATCACCATCACCACCATCACCACCACCATCACCACCATCACCATCACCACCATCACCACCATCAGCATCACCACCATCACCATCACCACCATCACCATCACCACCATCACCACCACCATCACCACCATCACCATCACCACCATCACCACCATCACCACCACCATCACCACCATCACCATCATCACCACCACCATCACCACCATCACCACCACCATCACCACCACCACCATCACCACCACCATCACCACCAACACCATCACCACCATCACCACCAACACCACCATCACCACCATCATCACCAACACCACCAACACCATCACCACCATCACCTGCATCATCACCACCACCACCATCACCACCATCACCACCATCACCATCACCACCATCACCTGCATCATCACCACCACCACCATCACCACCATCACCACCACCATCACCACCACCACCACCATCACCACCACCATCACCACCAACACCATCACCACCATCACCACCAACACCACCAACACCATCACCACCATCACCTGCATCATCACCACCACCACCATCACCACCACCATCACCACCACCATCACCACCACCATCACCATCACCACCACCATCACCACCACCACCATCACCACCATCACCACCACCACCATCACCACCATCACCACCACCATCACCACCATCACCACCATCACCATCACCACCATCACCACCACCACCATCACCATCACCACCACCATCACCACCATCACCATCACCACCACCATCACCACCATCACCACCATCACCACCACCACCACCACCATCACCACCATCACCACCATCACCACCACCATCACCACCATCACCACCATCACCACCACCATCACCACCATCACCACCATCACCACCATCACCACCACCATCACCATCACCACCATCACCACCATCACCACCATCACCTACTTTATGTGACGCTTCCTCCTCAGCCTTTCTCCGCTTTTCCATCACTTTGCTGCTGATGCCGCTGCTGGATGTCAACGACGACGACGATGTAGCTGATGATGATGTTGATGATGTAGCTGATGATGATGTTGATGATGTTGATGATGTCGATGCCCGTGCCTTCACCAGATCCTCCTGCCTCCAGGTCAACACCTGCTGCGACTTCTTCACAGCTATCTTCGCATCAGCCTGGGAGGGGTGGGTGGGTGAGTGGGTGGGTGAGTTGGTGGGTGGGTGAGTGGGTGAGTGGGTGGGTGGGTGGGTGAGTGGGTGAGTGGGTGGGTGAGTGAGTGAGTGGGTGAGTGGGTGAGTGAGTGGGTGGGTGGGTGGGTGAGTGGGTGAGTGGGTGGGTGAGTGGGTGGGTGAGTGAGTGGGTGAGTGAGTGAGTGGGTGGGTGGGTGAGTGGGTGGGTGGGTGGGTGAGTGGGTGAGTGGGTGGGTGAGTGGGTGGGTGAGTGAGTGGCTGGGTGAGTGGGTGAGTGAGTGAGTGGGTGAGTCAGTGAGTGGGTGGGTGGGTGAGTTGGTGGGTGGATGGGTGGGTGAGTGAGTGGGTGAGTGGGTGGGTGAGTGAGTGAGTGGGTGGGTGGGTGAGTGAGTGGGTGGGTGGGTGAGTGAGTGGGTGAGTGAGTGAGTGGGTGAGTGAGTGAGTGGGTGAGTGAGTGAGTGGGTGAGTGGGGTGGGTGGGGTGGGTGGGGTGGGTGGGTGGGGTGGGTGGGGTGGGTGAGTGAGTGGGTGGGTGAGTGGGTGAGTGGGTGAGTGAGTGGGTGGGTAGGTGAGTGGGTGAGTGAGTGGGTGAGTGAGTGGGTGGGTGAGTGAGTGGGTGAGTGAGTGGGTGAGTGAGTGGGTGAGTGAGGGAGTGGGTGAGTGGGTGGGTGAGTGAGTGAGTGAGTGGGTGGGTGGGTGAGTGAGTGAGTGGGTGGGTGGGTCGGTGGGTGGGTGGGTGAGTGGGTGGGTGGGTGGGTGAGTGGGTGGGTGGGTGAGTGAGTGGGTGAGTGGGTGGGTGAGTGAGTGGGTGGGTGGGTGAGTGAGTGGGTGGGTGGGTGAGTGAGTGGGTGAGTGAGTGAGTGAGTGGGTGAGTGAGTGAGTGAGTGGGTGAGTGAGTGGGTGGGTGAGTGGGTGAGTGAGTAGGTGGGTGGGTGAGTGAGTGGGTGAGTAAGTGAGTGGGTGGGTGAGTGGGTGAGTGAGTGAGTGGGTGGTGAGTGAGTGGGTGAGTGAGTGGGTGAGTGGGGTGAGGTGGGTGCGGTGGGTGGAGGCACTTTCCCTGCAGCCTGCTAGAGGCTACCTGGGGGACCTTTGTCTCTACTTTACCAGCTTGCGTTGCGCGCGGCTCCACAGGTCCCTGACCTCCTTCCGCCTCCTGTCGTGTTCCAGACGAACCTGGGGGCAGGTGGGGGGGGTGGGGGGGGTGAGTGAGTGGGTGAGTGAGTAGCTGAGTGAGTAGCTGAGTGAGTGAGTGTGTGAGTGAGTAGCTGAGTGAGTGAGTAGCTGAGTGAGTGAGTGGGTGAGTGGGTGAGTAGCTGAGTGAGTAGCTGGCTGAGTGAGTAGCTGAGTGAGTAGCTGGCTGAGTGAGTAGCTGGCTGAGTCAGTAGCTGAGTGAGTAGCTGAGTGAGTAACTGGCTGAGTGAGTAGCTGAGTGAGTGAGTAGCTGGCTGGCTGAGTAGCTGGCTGAGTGAGTGAGTAGCTGGCTGAGGAGCTGAGTGAGTAGCTGGCTGGCTGAGGAGCTGAGTGAGTAGCTGAGTGAGTAGCTGAGTGAGTGAGTAGCTGAGTGAGTGAGTGAGTAGCTGAGTGAGTAGCTGAGTGAGTAGCTGTGTGAGTAGCTGTGTGAGTAGCTGAGTGAGTGAGTAGCTGGCTGAGTGAGTAGCTGAGTGAGTAGCTGGCTGAGTGAGTAGCTGGCTGGCTGAGTAGCTGGCTGAGTGAGTGAGTAGCTGGCTGAGGAGCTGAGTGAGTAGCTGGCTGGCTGAGGAGCTGAGTGAGTAGCTGAGTGAGTAGCTGAGTGAGTGAGTAGCTGAGTGAGTGAGTAGCTGTGTGAGTGAGTAGCTGGTTGAGTGAGTAGCTGAGTGAGTAGCTGAGTGAGTAGCTGAGTGAGTGAGTAGCTGGCTGAGTGAGTAGCTGAGTGAGTAGCTGGCTGAGTGAGTAGCTGGCTGAGTAGCTGAGTGAGTAGCTGGCTGAGTGAGTAGCTGGCTGAGTGAGTAGCTGGCTGCGTGAGTGAGGAGCTGAGTGAGTAGCTGAGTGAGTGAGTAGCTGTGTGAGTAGCTGAGTGAGTAGCTGAGTGAGTGAGTAGCTGGCTGAGTGAGTAGCTGAGTGAGTGAGTAGCTGAGTGAGTGAGTAACTGGCTGAGTGAGTAGCTGAGTGAGTGAGTAGCTGGCTGGCTGAGTAGCTGGCTGAGTGAGTGAGTAGCTGGCTGATTGAGTAGCTGAGTGAGTAGCTGAGTGAGTAGCTGAGTGAGTGAGTAGCTGAGTGAGTGAGTAGCTGAGTGAGTAGCTGAGTGAGTAGCTGAGTGAGTAGCTGGCTGAGGAGCTGAGTGAGTAGCTTAGTGAGTGAGTAGCTGGCTGATTGAGTAGCTGAGTGAGTAGCTGAGTGAGTAGCTGAGTGAGTGAGTAGCTGGCTGAGTGAGTGAGTAGCTGAGTGAGCAGCTGAGTGAGTGAGTATCTGAGTGAGTAGCTGGCTGAGTGAGTAGCTGAGTGAGTAGCTGAGTGAGTGAGTAGCTGAGTGAGTGAGTAGCTGAGTGAGTGAGTAGCTGGCTGAGTGAGTAGCTGAGTGAGTAGCTGGCTGAGTGAGTAGCTGGCTGGCTGAGTAGCTGGCTGAGTGAGTGAGTAGCTGGCTGAGGAGCTGAGTGAGTAGCTGAGTGAGTAGCTGGCTGAGTGAGTAGCTGAGTGAGTAGCTGAGTGAGTAGCTGAGTGAGTGAGTAGCTGGCTGAGTGAGTAGCTGAGTGAGTAGCTGGCTGAGTGAGTAGCTGAGTGAGTAGCTGAGTGAGTAGCTGGCTGAGTGAGTAGCTGGCTGAGTGAGTAGCTGGCTGAGTGAGTAGCTGGCTGCGTGAGTGAGGAGCTGAGTGAGTAGCTGAGTGAGTGAGTAGCTGTGTGAGTAGCTGAGTGAGTAGCTGAGTGAGTGAGTAGCTGGCTGAGTGAGTAGCTGAGTGAGTGAGTAGCTGGCTGGCTGAGTAGCTGGCTGAGTGAGTGAGTAGCTGGCTGATTGAGTAGCTGAGTGAGTAGCTGAGTGAGTAGCTGAGTGAGTGAGTAGCTGGCTGAGTAAGTGAGTAGCTGAGTGAGCAGCTGAGTGAGTGAGTATCTGAGTGAGTAGCTGGCTGAGTGAGTAGCTGGCTGAGTGAGTAGCTGAGTGAGTAGCTGAGTGAGTGAGTAGCTGAGTGAGTGAGTAGCTGAGTGAGTGAGTAGCTGAGTGAGTGAGTAGCTGGCTGAGTAAGTAGCTGAGTGAGTGAGTAGCTGGCTGAGCAGCTGAGTGAGTGAGTAGCTGAGTGAGTAGCTGAGTGAGTGAGTAGTGGGCTGAGTGAGTGAGTAGCTGAGTGAGTAGCTGAGTGAGTGAGTAGCTGAGTGAGTGAGTGAGTAGCTGGCTGAGTGAGTAGCTGGCTTAGTGAGTAGCTGAGTGAGTAGCTGAGTGAGTAGCTGTGTGAGTAGCTGAGTGAGTGAGTAGCTGGCTGAGTGAGTAGCTGAGTGAGTAGCTGAGTGAGTAGCTGGCTGAGTGAGTAGCTGAATGAGTAGCTGAGTGAGTAGCTGAGTGAGTAGCTGGCTGAGTGAGTAGCTGGCTGAGTGAGTAGCTGAGTGAGTGAGTAGCTGAGTGAGTACCTGAGTGAGTGAGTAGCTGAGTGAGTGAGTAGCTGAGTGAGTGAGTAGCTGGCTGAGTAAGTAGCTGAGTGAGTGAGTAGCTGGCTGAGCAGCTGAGTGAGTGAGTAGCTGAGTGAGTAGCTGAGTGTGTGAGTAGCTGGCTGAGTGAGTGAGTAGCTGAGTGAGTAGCTGAGTGAGTGAGTAGCTGAGTGAGTAAGTAGCTGGCTGAGTGAGTAGCTGAGTGAGTGAGTAGCTGGCTTAATGAGTACCTGAGTGAGTGAGTAGCTGGCTGAGTGAGTAGCTGAGTGAGTGAGTAGCTGAGTGAGTGGCTGTGTGAGT